CAGGGCAGGGGAATCCCAGACACAGCCGGCTCCCCCCATCCCAGCCTCATTCACCTGCATCCACATCTTCCACAGATTAAGGAAAGGATCTTCCACCCTTTCTCCAGTGCTTGGGAACAGACACACGCCACCTTCACTGCCATTGCTCCCAGCCCAGCGCCCCCCCCAAGAAGGATGTTAAACCACCAGAACTTTATTATTACCGTACTTAAAACGCTGGGTCAGACACTCCAGGGCCCTCTCGATATCACCGGGATTAATTGCCATTCTTAGTGGCTCATGGGTGCCAGCTGAGCCACACATGCTAAGGGCCGTGGCATTTGACGGTAATGAGCAGTGACACTTATCTGTCTGAACAAGCCAAGGCTTGGCAAGAGCCGCACGATGCCGCAAAGGGAAAAAATGACATAAAGCTCTTGGAAAAAAAAATTTAAAAATGAACCGAAGGCTTCCTGAAGGGCAAGATCCATCCTCAAGCTAAAAATAGCATCCCCCCCCACCCCCCACCCCGGGATGTGACACATGGGAGGGGTTTAAAATTAGCACTGGGCAACAGGAGGAAATTCCATTTCCACGGGGGATTTCGAACCCTGCCTGCGCTGGGAGCTTAACGCGAACCCTCGGTAATTGCAAAGTTCTCCGCAACCATCGGTCCGGTCTGATCCTGGATGGTGCTTCTGCAAAACCGGGACCACCTGGTTCCACGCGGGCTTTGGGTTTCTGTCTGTGAAGACAAACACGGATTTGGCAAAGGAGAAAGAGAAAAGGGCAGGCCAACTGTCTCCTCCTGGCCGCGGCAGGCAGCCGCAACCTGGCTTGGTTGTGCTACGGAGCGAAATGGCCCAGGGCACATGGGGTGGCTCGACAACGGTTTCAACAGAGCTTCATTTTCTGAGTAACGAGGGCTTCATGGCACGGGTTCCTCAGCCAGCTCCTGGGTGAAGCCCTGCGGTGCCAGCTGGACATCCCCAGCGTGTCACGAGGGCTTCACGGCAGCTCCGTTCTCCCCAGCTAACGCCAGCTGCAAGGCACTTGCGAGGGCACCCAGGTCGTGATGGAGCTGAGCCTGCCTGGATCTGCAGTCCTGAGAGGCCTTGGCTCCGTGTTCGCAGGGAAAGGATCCAGCATCCGCTCTATTTAAGGGGTTAATGCCGGGAGCTGCAGGGTCCCAGTGCGTGGCCAGAGATGCCCAAAGCAGGATGAAGTGTGTGCTGAGCTGTGCCAGGCTCACAGACCCTCCTTGGCATCACCCCTTGCTGGCATAGGGCTGTTGGAGGACATGGCAATGCCTGATCTAGTCAACATCCCCCCATGGACCCCTCTGCTCCTGCCCAGCACCTGTTACCCTCTGCTCCTACACAGCAAGCGCTGCCTCGCACCTGATCTTCCCCCTTCCAGGGCCCTCTACATGGAGCCCGGAAAACTAACATTCACCTGGCTGCTGAGGATTCAGCCTATAACGAATCACAGGAAGAGGCAGCCTCTTCGGCTCTTGCCACGTGTTACATATAACACACAATTCACTGGGGCATCTTGCCATAAATTTAGACCAGCCACATGTGCAAGGTAGGACTGGCCACATGTGGCAAATGATTATCATACAATTAACTGGGGAATCACACGATACATTTTAGACTGGCTACACATGCAAAGTAATGGTCAAGCCATAAAAATGGCCGTCCAGCTACAAAAAGGGCCGACCAGCTACAAAGGAAGGGCTTGAAAACATGCAACAACTTAATAGCTGGTTTCTACCCAGCTTGAATTTGACCATGAGGCAGAGTTCTTAGGCAACTCAGGCCCAGAAATCAAAGTGTGGCAGGCAGCAGCTGCAATTCAAACACTTCTGCCCATGGGCTGAGCCCCAAAAAGGACCCAGCCTTGCTCGTCTTCCCTGCGGACACTGCTAGGATTGTTCTTCCATGCTTCCTGATTCACATATGGTGTTTCTGGTAGCCCCGTCTTGTGCAGAGACATGGTGAAATCATTTAGGATCGTAGGAAAAACAGGCTGAAGCGACCGCATGGGGTCACGTCTAGTCCATCCCCTGCTCACAGCAGGCTCGGCCCTGACCAAAACATCCCAGCCAAGAGTCCATCCAACCTGCTCTGGAAAACATCCAGGGAGGGAGATCCCACCACTTCCCAGGCAGCCTGCTCCAGCGCTGGAGCACCCACAGTCAAGGAGTTCCTCCTCATCTCCACCTCAGTTTCCCCTGCTGCAGCTTGAGACCGTTGCTCTGAGTCCTGTTCCCAGCAGCCACAGAGAAAAGCCCATCTCCGTCCTCTCTGCCATTGCCCTGCAGGGACTTGAAGCCTGTGATCAACATCCCCTGCAGTCTTCTCTCCTCCAGACTTGGTCACCCGAGCTCTTCCAGCCCAGCCTTGCCTGTCGTGTCCCTAGACCTCTGGTCACTGTGGATGCTGTGTGCTGGACTCTCTCCTTCCTGTCCACGTCCTCCTGGAAGTGCGGGGCCCAGAGCTGGGTGCAGGGCTCCAGGGGAGGCCTCCCCGGTGCTGAAGAGCAGAGATCCCTGCCCCGGATCTGCACCGACGCTCCTGTTCACATGGCCCAGGAGGCTGCTGGTGGCTTCGGCAACAAGAGCGCGCTGCTGGCCCGTGTTTACCGTGTGCTCCACATTCCCCAGGTCCTGCTGCAGTGCTGCAGCCCAGTCCACTCTTCCCCGGGCTGAATTAGTGCATGCAGTTATTCCATCCCAAGCGAAGGACACTGCAGTTGTCCTTGCTCAATCTCGTCTGATTGATTTCTGGACTTCTCCAGTCTCTCCAGGTCCTTCTGGATCCCAGCCCTGCCCTCTGGAGGGTCTGCAACTCCACCCAGCTCTGTACTGTCCACACCTGTGCTAAGCGTGCTCTCCATCCCCCCACCCAAATTGTGAATGAGGGTGTTAAACCACACCAGACCCAGGACAGACCCCTGGGGAACCCCACATGACACCACCTCCCACCTAGACCTTGAGTTACACATAGCTACTTGTTGCCTCGCTGCAAACACCAGGACCAATGCCCAGCTGAGGCATCAACCCCTTCCCTCCCCTACTGCTGCAAAGGCCAGCACCTGCCCACAGAGGCTCTGCCCCTCAGACATCGAGGCACCAGACTTCATGCTGGGCTCAGCAGCTGGGAGCCCAGTACAGCACTTCCTAAGGCAGGACGCAGAGACTGACAAACAGACAAAAGAGCCGTTAGCCAAGGCAGCAGATGCTTACGTGGCCTGGGCTCTTTCTGGGCAGTTCACCTAAAGCCACTTCCTTTGGGTTAATTGCTGCACTGATGGGGCCTGATAGCGCTCAGAGATCACCCAACGTGTCAAACATGAGCCTGCTTACATTGCACAGCCTGAAAAGAGCAGCTAAAGAACTCGAAGACCCAAGTAAAAAGCCAGAACTTAACTACTGAAAGAACAAGGAGCAATTAACTATCAACAGAACAAGGAGCAATGGGCTCAAGTTACAGCAAGGAAAGCTGAGGTTAGATATTAGGAAAAATTCTCACTAGGAGGGTGGTAAAGAACTGGAACAAGTTACCCAGAGAGGTGCTGGAGTCTCCATCCTCAGAGGTTTTGAAGACCCGGGTAGACCAAGCCTTGGCTGAGATGATGCGGTTGGGGCTGGTCCTGCTTGGAGCAGGGGGTTGGACTGGATGTGAGCTCCGGAGGTCCCTCCCAATCCTCACTGTCTGTGATTCTGAGCTAATGGCATTGAAACCTACCACCTGATATAGAAATGGAGTAGCTCACAGCCCCAAGAGCTGCTGGGGGAGTATCATGGGTGGAAACACTGGCCCCAAAGGTGGCCAGCTCGAGCATCTACTGCAGGAGCTCCGGCTCTGCTCAAGGGCCGTGGTAAAAAGCCAGAACTTAACTACCGCGACAGAGATCACAAGTGCGTAAACTTGGTGTCCGACACAAGGAGAGATGAATATCTTGACAGAGGAGCTGGTACAAAATGGGCATGCCAGCATAAAGACAGGGGTCGGGAGACCTGCCCTTTGTAGAGACCGAGCGGCGTGTGAACAACGTACGGTGTCTCTACCCTCCAAGGACAAGCTGCACTGAATTGCACTGGCTAGTAATCAGACCAGTGCAAATAAACCTGAGCTTTCACCGCTGAACATGGACCTGTGTCTTTTTTCCATCACGTTGGGGATCTGGAAGACGGCTGCTAGCATCGGCCTCCCGGAGCAGGCAGTCTGGCAGCCTGTCCATCAACAGTGACAGCAGCCAGATATCACCTGTGAAAACACAGCTCAGACCACATCTCCCAACACCCGCAGGCAGCAGCCTCCCTGCTCCCACACCCCTAAGACCCCGATGTGCCGGGTACGTCCAACAGAATAAGCACAAAGGGGAAAACTCTCCACTTCTGCATCCCCCAGACACGTTCAGACGTGACTCCACCTGCTGGTCCCCTCTAATGACCCCCTGCTGCTTTAGCACAAAAGCCCAGGGATGTTTGAGCAGGTGCCCGTAGCCAACGGTCACTCAAATGATTGCTTTCTGGCTAGCTCGCGCCCCTGGCGTGTCATGGGGATAAATTATTCAGCACGGCCCCTGCTGAAACGGGCTCTGCAGTGCTGCTAGGGTGAAGCGGCTGTTTGCTGCGAGTGGGCGAGATGATGCATTTGGTACGTATGCCCAGTGCCTATAGAGCACCATGAACCTGCTGGATAAACAGGGGGTGCAAGGATGGGGGTCACAGAGATGGAGGGTGGATGTGGGATCAGAGCTTGCCCTTGCTCCTAGTCCTGGAGGCTGCAAGGAAGAGAGGAGCAAGGGGAAAAGACCCAGGTCACTCTCCCCTCCAGCCTCCATGTGACACAAGAGACTGGGCAAGACAGACGCGGGGTCTCACCCAGCATGTAGCTGGCTCCCACTGCACACAGCTGATTTAAAGCCAGCTGCCAGGGAAGTTTGGGCACACAGTTTTTTTGTTTTTAAAGTAAAAGCATTTGCTCTGGAAGGTTGATCGTGGCTTTCCATTGCAGCGCTCCTACCCCTGGAATAGCCGAGGCAGCTGGCTGGGGTATGAAGACCCTGGGCTTCTTCCCCATCATTTGAAAGCCCTACGGCTGATGAGATGAGCTGAGCTGACCCAGAGCCAAGCGGCTCCTGTCGCGCACGCCGCCCCGTCCGTCTGCATTATTTATGGCACGCGCGCAAGGGGAAGCGAGGGCTTTTAGGCACCGAGAGACAAATCAATACGAGCTCTTAGCAGATGGGGTCTTCGCAGGGGTCCACTGCAGCCATGCTCTGTGCTGAGCACGGCCTTTCGGCTGCAATAGTTGGCTGCCAGAGAGGCCAGAACTGGAGCTGTTTGCAAGTCAGCACTTCCCCAGCCCCGGGGGCCAGAGCGGAGCTGGGCCCGCCCCGGCACGTGGGAGCCCTTGACCCAGGGAGCAGGCGCCTGTGAATAATGCAAGGGCCGCGTGTGCCCTCCCGTCCCCACAGCCAAGCAAAGGCAGAGAGGCTGGCACGCAGATGGCTCTGCTTGGCCGAGCGGGCAGGACACCAAGGGGAGATGTAGCTGCTCCTGGCAGTTGTAGCCAGGTCAACCCTGCACCTGGATAGGGGAGACCCTTCCAGCTCTCAGGGCAGATGGAGAGGCTCTGGCATGGGCGGAAAAAGCAGATGGAGCCATCCCGAGACAGCCTGCAGCAAGCCAGCCCTCCTCCCCCCTCTGCTAACACAGGGCTTGCTGCAGGGGGAAGGTGACTACATGCAACACTGCTGGGCGCACAGAAACCCCCCAAACCATCAGCACATCTCTGGCTACTGCCTCTGCCGGTCTCTGTCCAGAGAAGAGCATTGCAGAGAGCTGGCCCGTGCAAGGCAGCAAGGCTTGGGGGGTCCAGCCCCCGCCGCTTTGCTCCCCTGTCTTGTTAGCTAAGCGCTCCTTTTGTGCTTATGGAAGGAGCCTGAAGCCTAGCCGGGGCAGTGACCCCGAGTGAAATGTGACCCACCACAGGGATCCCCTTTATGGCAGGCACCTGCACCAGGGAAACCCTGAGCCCCAGCCTGTGGCTTGGCTGGGGAAAAGCTGCCCAGAAGGACCCAGCCCATGGATGCCGAGGTCTTGGTGCCCCCAGCCGGATCCATGCGCAGGGTCGGCGTTCAGCAGAAGGAGCATGGGAGCGTCCCCCAGCCGCCTGCTCATAAGAAGCCGGGGGCGGGGGAAACCTCAAGTGCCCGGGCTCTGAACGCGTGCTGGTAACGCAGGCCCTTTATTAACACGAGACCATCCGGAAGAAGGTCCCAGGGCAGGAAACACACAACGCCTTCCTCCTGCCCTGAAGCCCGGTGCCACGGGGCAGGAGGAAATTCCTCTGCCAGGGGAATGAGGCCATATTAAATAACGCACACAGCCTAAGTGGTAATCAACCCTCCCGCTGCTGAGCAGGGGGAGCGCGAGCTGGGATGGAAACCCCCACGCTTCACGAGATCTTTTCTGCAAGCAATCAGGTCCAGGCTGTCCAGGGAGATGCCCGTGCTCTGCTCTCCTCTAATGAAGGGAGAAGCTGGAGCTTCAGGCATCGAGGGTGGCTTCCAGGGGGTTTATGAACCATTTGAGCTGGACCCCCAGCAGGGTCAGGCTGCACACAGGGGCCCGGTGTTCACCGCCACAGTCTGCCCTGCCCCGAGAAGCCAGGCCGAGGAGACTGCCGGGACCCTCTTCTCCAGGCTGGCTCCCCAGCTCCTTCTGCACAGGCCGTGGGGGTGGAGGGGGGGAGCCGTGACGAAGCCCTGTTTGGTGCAAACTCCTGCAACGTGCATCTGTCAGTTTGGTTGGAAAAGGCGTCCATCACTCCCCGGCCCAGCTGCTGGGCTGTGCAGCTGTGCATGGCTCACCCAGCTGCCACCTTGCAGTGCCCGGGCACACGCTCTCCCCCAGCCCTCCGCCACCTTTATGAAGCAACCCAGGACCTTTGCAGAGAAAAGCTCTCAAGCTGCGGCCACACGAACGGCAGCCAGATCCCTTCCCCGGCTGCGGTGGGGAGGAGGGGGAAGCGCGCGGTGCTAAAACATCTCTACTAATTAAACGGAGGATGCCAAGAACGCCAGTGTAATTAAGGCACAAAGAAACGGCTTGGCCTAGCTCGTCTCATTGCGGAGAGATCGAATGAAGCAGCGTGCGCTTTTATGGAGCAATTTAATCTGGCACGCAATTAATCGTGGAAGCACTAAGTCAAACGGCGAGATTTCCCTTTAAGCAGCGCCCATCCATCACCGGTGATGTATTCCCAGCTGCCATTTGTTACGCGGCCTCCGAATCATACAGCAGACATTTTATGGCCCCGTCGCCCAGGGAAGTGATTTCTGATGGGCAGGAGGGAGTGGTGCCGAGCTATAGACCCCCGAGACAATTAACCCTGTCGCCTTCCCCGGCTGACGCACGGCGCGGCACGGCGGGGAACACGCGGCCGTCTGGGGCTCTTGGAAGCTGCACGGCCGCTGGCTGCCCGGTGCATCCTCGGACAGCAGCTGCACCCCCACAGCCTTTGCTCTGTGGGCTAAGCAAGCCCAGCTGGCCTGGACCCTGCTCCCCTGCCTCGTTGCACCTGCCCCCATCCAAGTCTACCCCTTCCCCGGCAGGGCAGGTCTCTGCTGAGAGCTCCCCCTGCTTCTCTGCATGGGGCCTGTCCACAGCTCGTGGAGATGAACGGGACAATGACACCAAAGTGCCCTTGGGTCCAGCCCTGCCACCCCCTTCCAAATGCAACCAGACAGCAGAAAGGCCATGGATGGCCTTGGCTGCTCTGCAGATGCGGTGCTAACCACGACTGCTCCGCTCCATCACGAGGCCTGGCTTTATTTTATGGGGGAGCTGAGCAAAGTCTGCCCAAATCATTGGAAGTGAAAGGCCAGCTCTGGAAGGTGCTTGCTGGAGACGCACGGCTTTTGCCAGCTCTTCCTCTCTGCCACTTGCAAGGAAGCCATGTAGCAGATTTCTGCCACGCGGACAGCGAGCAGAGGGGCCGGTCCAGGTGTCTTCCATCCCACGTCTCCTACGCTCAACCTGGACCAAGGCCATGGATGCCAAAGCCGCCTCCCGGCACAGCAGAGCAACACAACCATCCTCTGCGGTACAGCGGTGCAAGAACAAGCAGCGCGCGGCGGTCCCGACCAGGTCCATACAGACACTCGGTACAGTGCAACGGGCATGAACGCCATGCCAAAAGATCTCACTTTGCTAAAACGTGGACTCAGGAGAGACTGGAGGAAGCCTCGATTAATCAAAATCTGTCCTCAAAAAAGAAAGGAAAGAAGGAGGAAAGGCAATAGCAGCGAGGGCCAGCTGGAGGAGACCGAGCCTGCGTCTGGCTAGCTTCCAGCTTCCACAGGTATGGACAGAGCGGTGCGGCGCTGCCTCTTTCCCTCTATCCCACACTCAATTTATAACAAGGCTGATATCGCATTGAAGTGACAGCAAATGCAAGCACAACTCATTTCACAATTAATCTACCCGTGCTCGCGCTTCTCATTAAGTGCCCTCGGTTTCCTCACAGCCACAGGCTCTTCCCTTCGAGATGGGTGCCCGGGGAACGGAGCGGCTCAGGCATTACTCAGCCAGGAGCTTTGCGCGCTCGTCACCGGCCACTGCATCCATCAGGCCAAGGGGCAGCTACCTCTCGCCAGCACCATCGCTGCGCAGAGGGAGCTCATCAACGGGGCGCTGCTTGCTGGCAGGTTCGGAGACAAGACGTGATACTAAGGGACGGTGAAACATCAGGTCCCTGGGATCGTGCGTGTTCAGCCCTTGCCTTGACGGTGGAAACCCAGTGCCGCGGGGCGGGCAGGGAGCTGCGGGGTCACATCCAGCCCAGCCTGGCCTGGGGCAGGATCAGCCCCATCCAAACCAGCCCAGACAAACCCTGTGTCCGACCTCGGAGCCGTGCAACAGTCGCCCCTGACATGGCCCCAAGTATAACCCCGGCCCCCGGGAAGTGGGGGGGCCACAGCTGCCAATGTCCTGCTGCTGCTGGGGCCAACACTGTGCCCCCACTGCAGAGGAAGGCAAAAACCCCCAGTGCGACCAGCCTGAGCAGGGGGGAAATCCCTTCCTGCCCCAACACAGCGTGGGGCTGAGCCTGAGCGCAGGGCCAAGACCCTCCAGCTGGGACCCTGCGGGGTTGGTGCCAGCAGCCCCATTCCCAGCCTGGGCTGCACCCTGACACATGGCGCAGGATGTGGAGGGTGGAATTACCTCCCAGCCCCACACAGTAACTTATTTTATCTTTCACTTCCGAGACAGGAAGGGCCTTTGCTTCCAAAATGCCGAGTGCCCCCAGCTCCCACCTACTCGGCACCCCAGGAAGTCAGGCCCAGGCGATGGGGCAGCCCGAGGCCACTCTGGGAAACCCAACCTCAGCTCGAGGCGAGCCCAGGTCCACGACACAAGCAACCCCGTTGCGAGCCCAGAGACAAGAGGCAGAAGCAGCTGCCTGCCGAGATTTTCCCGCGCACCCCCCGGCACCAAGGGAGCCGAGAGCACCGAAGGCACCAGACAGGGACAGCAAACAGGTGTCATGCAACACGGGCCCTGCGCCAGACCTGGCGCTGCCAGCAGGGCTCCAGTGTCCCGCAGGCTGGCCTCCAGGCCGCGAGGGCTTTCAGATGCTAATAGGTGAGCCAACCAGGGCGACATATGGCAAAGCTCTCGCCTGGGAACGGGAAAGGGAGCATCTACGTCAGACTGGCTCATCTCGCAGGGCCATGAAAAGTTAATGCTGGGTTCAAAACCCCGAGCAAGTGCACGGCACCACGAGTTTATCAGGAAAACGTTAAATAATTCACCAGAGAGGAGAAAGTAGAGTCAAAAGGTATGGAGGCTCTTCAACAGATACCGACGGCCCGTTGTGAGTCTTTCGAGGCACCCCCAGAATGGCCAAGGGAAAGACACTTGGCATTTATTAATGTCTCTCACCGGACAAGAACGGGGGTCACCGCATGGCATGAGCAGGCTGGCAGCTTAAAACAAACACCAGGACCTTCTGTTTCACCCAGCATGGCATGAAACGGTGGAGCTCATGGCTCGCAGGAGCAACAAGAACTCAGGCAGATTCACAAGGGGTCGGACATGTGCTTGGAGGAGAGGGGCGCCAGTCGCTACCGAGCACGGCCTCTGCATCAGACCTGCCTGGACCCTACAGACTGCAAGGGAGAGAGGAGCAGGGCGAAAACCCAGGTCAGACCCCGGCTATTCTCCATGGCAGTCTCTGCATGGCAGAGACTGGGCAGGATGGGCCTGGGGTCTGACCAAGCATGCAGCAGCCCTATGATCCCGATGCAGCAAAAGGAAGCGTATCCTATTGCCACCCCGGGGCTGGCAGAGGAAGCTTTGCCTTGTGCTGCACAACACACAACCCGCAGAAAGGAGGAGTTTCACCTCCGAGGTCGGGGCACTGGTTCTTTGTCCCCGTCAGAGGGTCCTGACCCTGGCCGCAAATGCCAGCACTGCCTCCTGCCTTTGCTCCGACTGGAGCCCAACTCACCGAGCCAGAAAGTGCCACTCCCCCTCCCCCAGGCCGTGGAGGCCTCATGGCCCCCCCCCACCCTGCCAAGCAGGCTCCCAAACTTTTCACAATCCAGCTTGCAAGGGGAAAGATGTTGCTGTAATTAACGGGCATGGAGACAGCCTAATTAATCATACAGCAGCTATGAGACAAAGCGCCTGAACTGTGCGCTCTCTGCAGCAAGGTTGGCTGACAGGAGTCGCGGGTGCCTTGCGGATCCCCCCTGGTGTCCATCCACAAGCCCCCAAAATACTCCGTCTGTTGGGCACCAGGAGGTCACCCCACAACCTGTGGGGCTCCATCCATCGGTGCTCCCCAGCCATCCCCCCATGGGAACAGCAGCCCCCAATGCCAACAACAGGGTCACTGCAAATGCTGCCGCCTTCAGAGTTAACCCCTCCTTCGGCTGAACAGGACCAGCCCACGAGAACTATTGCAGTCGGTGGTCCCCATCCCAGGCATGCCCCGGAGATTACCCTTCCCGCTACGAGGGCTATGGCACCGTGTTTCAAACAAAGGCCTCGCAGTCTGGAGCACAAAGGAGCTGCCTCCCCCGAAAAGCCCTGGTGCTCTGAGCTACTATAATTCAGCTCCTGCTGAGTCTGACAGGGTCTAAATTAGATGCAAAGATGTCTGAGACCAGGAGATGGTTTCACATGTTGCAAGAAAAACACAGTTCGTTCCAGCTCCCCTCCCTCTTCCACCCCGGAGAGGTTTGGCTATTGCTGAGCTGCCTGGTACCCGAGGACCGCGTGAGCCTCATACCTCTTCTGCTCCTGGAACAAAAGCATCTGCCTGTACACGGGGGAAAACACCTGGGAAAAAGCGCTATGGTGGAAAGCTAGCATGTGCGGGCACACGTGCGTGCACACGTGTTTAAATACAACACGAGTCTTCTTGCAGCCCTTTCTGCCCCTCCCGGGCAAGGGGGGCTGATTCCCAGCTTTGCGACAGCCCAGGAGCGGATCACAGCTCTTGCAGCCATGCTAACGATTCATCAGCGCTGCGCTGAGTTCAGGACGGAGGCAGGCACTTCATTACCTTAATGAGCAGAGGTACTTAACGAGCTGGTACTTTGTCAAGGCAGTCCTAAAGGAAATATTAAGGGAATAGCGCATTTATGTTTCTAAAGCTAAATTAAATTGTAGGCCTCCCACCAGTATGAAATATTAAGGGGGGAAAAAAAAGAAAACCAACATTGCTGAATATTAAATGCTTTTTTTTTTTCCTTTTTTTCAATAAGCACAAATCCCACAGCCCGGCCCTACGGTGGGAATAATAATCCTGGTGGCTGCTGGGAGCAACAGATTTCCTCCAAACAGGAGGGGGAAGAGAGAAGCAGACTGCCTGGATCCAATTTGTCTGGTGATTACGGTGTTATTTAAGACATCACAAGCCCACAATGGTATTTAGACTGTTTGCGTTCAGGAAGAAAGCGGCTGAACGCTCTCCCTCTGTCGAAGGGAGGCGTTCGTTTCATGCTGGATGCGATGCCCAGGGAGACGAGTCCCCGCAACTTCTTGCTCACAGAAGGCGCAGCATGGGCAGTTGGTCGGAGCTTCACACGGTGCCTCTGGGCCAAGATGACATGGAAAAGGTGCCAACTGCAAGGCTGAAACCAGCTGGCCAGGACGCAGCCGGAGGGCATCCTCAGCGCCACATAAAATGCCAAAGCTGCCATTGCTCATCGTAGTGCCACCTTTCCAAAAGGAAACCTGCACCTTGCTGCTGTCTCAGCTGCTGGAGGGAAGCCTCAAGAGGCAGAAACCTGCCAACAGATGAGTGTCGGAGGGTCTGAAGGGCCTGTGCAGTATGCACCGTGGCCGGGGCGCTCTCCCCGTGGTCAGGCCGTCACAGACCATGCACAAGCCACCTAAAACTGGGCAAAGGCAGGTACCATCAAGGAGCTGCTGGCATGACCCATTCAGACGCCCCCCGCTTTTACATCGTCAAGCCAGAGGAGCCTGTGTAAGTCTTCTTCATGTTCCCATCCCATCGGAAGCGGCGAAGCAGGGAGCCAAGGGGTGGACCCCGCACCAGAGGCGCTGAGCCCATCATGGGTGCGCAGGGGAGCTCCATCTAGTCAAGCAGGTCCGGGCTGCTCCGCGAAACAGCTGGAAGGAAACATCTGGTGGTGCAGCCCTCGGTGCAGTGCGGCTTTGTACAGCTGGTGATGCAACGGAGGATCCCACCTGGCTATGCCGCTCTGTGGAGCACATGGTGGAAGCAGGGCCAGAGACTGCCAGGTGCCCCAAGAAATGCCCTCCCCGTGCTCTGCCACGCCATGGAGCCGCACGCAAGCAGTAACTGGACACACCGACCACTGGAGAACTGTGCTGAGCTGGCAGCCGACCGCAGGAGTCAGGCAGGAGAGCAATGGCAGGTAAAGAGGCCCAGCTGGTTCCACGGGCAGGGACTGACCGCCTGGGCTCACTTCCCGCAGCAAAGCCAAATATCGGCGCCAGGCCAGGAAGGTCTGCAAGGAAGCCTCAGAGCAGAGCACCCGTGCCCCCAGGTCACAGCCCAGCTGCAGGCAGAGCAGCGAGTGGAGAAAGGCAGCAATGCCTGGGTGAGCCAGTGGTGTTGCGTGGCTGCGGGCATCTCTATGCCTGCTCCCTCGCCAGCTGGCCATGACCTTGGCCACGCCGCACGCCTCGCCCTGCTGCTGTGTGAACTTGGAGAACCGTGGGGAGAAGCTGGAGGTCAAATCTGCTGATCCAAGCCCCGTTGCCTGGCCCCGGGCACTGAGAGGGAGGCGCCGGCTCTGGCCCCAGCTCCACGGCCTGGCCCCTGGTTGCAAGCTGCTCAGCTTACAACCTGCTTCTGCTCTCCCAGCACCCGCTGCCTTGCAGTTTGGCTCCTCTCAGCTCTCTCCTTTGGGGCTTCAAGCTCACATGGGGATGCTCCCTTGCTAGCAGCTGGGTCACAGCTGAATGTCCTTAATGGGGCTGGCTGCCCCTTCTTAAAGAGACAAAGCACCCTGTTACAGCAGGACACAAAGCTGCCCGTGATGCAGAGCAAACGGTTTGGGGCTCTTGTCTGAGATGACGGAGGCTGCCTGGAGCCAGTCAGGATGGCCTGGGGCAGGCTCCTCACAGAGGGAGGGAGTCACCGAGGGGGAAAAAGCATCCCTCAGGACACTGGGGTGACCTCCTACCTATGCCAGCAGAACTGGCCCATGCCCCAGTGCTTCAGTAACCAGCCCTGCCCCTAGAATGGGGCTGTCACCCACAGGAGCCGGGGCATGAGATGAGGGGGATAAAGCAAGATGGCACTGGCCTGGGATCCAGATGCAGGACTGGCCATGGGGGACGGAGAGCCCAGGCAGGACATGGCTGGATCCTGGCACGCCTGCCCCATGATGGGATGGGATTCTCAGGCTGCCCCTGGGTCGCCCAGAGGAGGGGAAAGCACCAGCCTGGACCAGGCTCAGCTAGCACCGAGGGCAGCACTGCCAATGAGGAAGTGCACGGCAGGGGAGGAAGCAGTGGCAGGAGAGCTCTAGGGCACCTCTGCCACGCCAAGACCCCTCAGCAGCAACATGACAGGGCAAACACACCGAGGATGGGACACAGAGGGATCTCCCAACCAGTCCCTCCATCCAGGGCCGCCTCCTCCTCCTCCAATGCCCTCTACTGCATGAGCTGTTGAGTCTACACTGCACCTTTCCACATGCAAAGCGAGATTAATTATCCTTATTGGCCTCCTCAGGAGACTCAGGGGGGTCAGGTTAATGTTGACACAAAGGGATTTTAATAAAAGTGAAGGTACAAGAGCATCCTTCCCTCTCTCCCTCCACCGAGCATGAGCCACTCTTCAGGCTGGACCAGTGGGGGCCTCACCCTTTCTGGACTTGCGGTCCCCTTGCGAAAATGCCAGCTCTTAGTCTGCACTCTTTTTCTGCCTACAGAAAAATACTAGACAGTGGTTGTGTTGCAAAGGCCTCAGGCTGACCCTGGCGATGGATTCCTATGCACAGTCTCTAGGTTTGTGATCCCATTTGCATGCCTAATGGTGCTAACGGGGTGTGACACCCCATAACACCCTTGAAAGCACCTTGTGACCCCCTGGGTGAGCACCCCTGGCTCCGCGCCTGCCTGCCCCTTGCTGAGACCTCCCTGGCAGCTGCAGATCAGCAGCTCCAGCCTGGCCCCTTTCAGTAAGGACCTGATGACCCCCAAAGATGCTCTCTGCCTTGGCATGAACAAGGGTGGGGAGATGGGGCAGGCCTGATTAGTGGTGGCAGTGTGTCAAAGGCCGTTACCACTTCACCTCAGTGAACAGCTTAATTGAGTCATTATGCTGTCACCAAAGCAGGTTTCCTGTCCAGCTTGGCAATCAATAGCAATGGAAGCACAGAGGACAGCAGGGCCAGGCCCCTGGTCATGCCAGGGGAGCTGCCTTACTGTCAGCCCGTTGAGGGTCCAGCGCCAGGGGTCTCCACTAACGGTGCCCCACAGGCGGCTCAGCATTGCACATCCCCAGTGGTCCTCCACAGAGCCCCTCCTGGGCTGGCACGTGGCTGGACCAGCCTCAGTCCACCCTGGGGAAACCCTCCACCCGTCTCCGATGCCAGCAGCATGCAGACCCAAGTGCCCCATCTCTCAAGGCAGAAAGAGCCGTGCTCCAGCCAGGCCGTGGCGGGTCTCCGCTTCCTCACAGCTCCCCACGCACCCAGACCTTCCCCCAGGCTGGCCTCAGGTCTCACAGAGCAGAGCAACAAGGAGCTGTCTGCAGGCTCCAGCGCCAGAGCCGAGAAGCAGGGATGATCCCATGGGAAGAGGAGCAGAGTGCGAGGCCTTCTGCAAAACCTGCTTGGCTCTAAGCTGGTCCCAGATGGTCTGACCATCCGGATAGACAGCCGGTGTCACCACTGCACACACGGCTTTGCAAACCACAGAATCCCAGAGCCGCGGGGCTGGCAGGGAGCTGCAGGGTTGCAACCAGGCCCAGCCCTACCGGAGGCAGGATCAGCCCCATCCAAGCCAGCCCACACCCTGTGTCCAACCTTGGAGCAGCACAACACAGTCGCCCCGACACAGCTCTGGCATCCCCCCTGCCCCCAGGATACAGGGGGGTCGCGGCCACCAATGTCCTACTGCCGCTGGGGTGTCGAGGATGCTGCAGAGAGCCCAGGCCAAGGCCGTGCCCCTGCTGCACAGGAAGGCAAAACCCCCCAATCTGCACCAGTCTGAGCAGGGGGGAAATCCCGGGATTTCCCCACCTCCTTCCCTGGTGTCTATCCCTCCCAGCGCTAACGGTGAAGAAGCTTTGCCAGATCTCCAATCTAAACCTGCTTTGCTGCAGCTTCCAGCCACGGCTCCATGTCCTGCTCCGCAGCCAGACAGAAGAGGTGCTTTCCCTCATCTTCATGGCAGCCCTTCACGGATTTGAAAGCTCCTCCTGCGGCTCCACCACCAGCTCCTCTCCAGCGTCCAGGACGCCAGGCCTCCCTGCAAAGGGAAAGGACCGTGTGGCGAGCCCATGAGGATGGAGACTGGCAGCAGGCAGTTCAGTTCATTCATCACTGGGTTAATCTATTTATTCACCTTGAGGAAATCATGGCTCAGGGGAGAGTTTATTAAAGGAGCGGAACGATGCAGGCGCCACCTCACCAGTGCCGCCAGCCCTCAGAAGATGCCCCCTTGAACCTGGCATTAATAAGGGCCTCATTAAACGCCAACAGGGGAGGTGTTGTCTGAAAGGGGCTCATTAGCCTCGAAGAACGACTTGGCTCCAAAGTTGCTTATTTTCTCCTAGGTGCGAAGGTCACTTTTCCAACCGATGAATGCCAGGGCTGGTCCCAACTAGCCGGCAAGGCAGTGAGACAGGGAAAGCCACCAGCCTCTCGCTGCTCTAGGGAGCCCCGCAGACAAAGCCATACACACCGGGTCCCGGGGCACTAAGCATCCAGCAGGAAGGGTTTCATCGGCAGCTTCCAAGGGGCACCGGGCTGTTACGGGAGGAGGGGAGCAAAAGTTCTCCAGGCCTGACGTGGTGGCACCTCAGGCAGCAGCAAGCTATGGGTAAGACTCTGCTCTACCATCCACCTTCGCCCCCCACAGGGCACGGCCGGCCTGCCACAGTCTCCAGGACCCGTGGGAGCTCTAGATAGGCAGCTGCAAGAGCCCGGGGGCACGAGCTCTCCCTCTGCCACTTCTCTGCCCGCACAGCCACAGCCTTCGAGGGCAGGAACATCAGATGGTCGCGGGACATTAAGTCTCACCCAGGGGCTCCAGTCCTAAGCCCGGTAACTGCGTCTGGCTGTGGCATCTTCATCCATCACAGTCTCAAACAGCACTATGCCTTCAGGCCGAGGACAGCCAGGACTCCCATGAGACTCCCTCGGTATGACAAGGCGGCGCTGGACGGGGGCCTCTGGGCAGAACGAGGGCAGCAGAGTTTTCAGGAGCCTTGGGGACGTCTCCGGATCCTCATCAAGGAAAGCAGGAGCCAGAATTTGGAGCAGCTGAAACCTGCCTGGATCTGAGGCCAGGCCTCAGGGCATGAGATGCAGCCTCCCTCGCCTTGCACCCAGCGGCTGCTTCTTGGCCAGCAGGAACAACCAAGAAGGGAGAGATCTGGGTGTGATGTGGTGACATCCCGGCCTCACTGCCCCACCGGCCCTGTGCTGCCAGCGCCGGCCTCTGCAACCGAGCCCCCGCGGCTTCGCCCCAGCCCCCACCTGCAGCCGAGTCGCTGCAGGGAGCTGGTGACTGCTGAGTCAGCGTGGACACTTCCCCTCTCACCAAGAGAAGGTTGCGCTTCCCCGGCATGGCCACGCGCCGCATTAATGAGGATCACAGAGTCCCAGCACTGCAGAGCAGGCGATGCAGATGGAGCGCGGCATCTCCGTAGTGCCTCTGGGCCTCCCAGGGCGCTGGAAGGAAGCTGGCCCTCAGCACCCTCCTGCTGGTAGGCCGACACTTGGGCCAGGGAGGAGGTGGGTGCAAGGAGCAGAATTGCCCTGCAATCCTGAGGCTGGGATGTGAGTGTGTTGGGACCAGCAGCCCTGAGCAACATCTGGCCTGCTGCTGGCTGTGTCCATGGGCTACACAGGAAGGAAATCACAGAGCCCCAAAGCCGTGGGGCTGGCAGGGACCTGTGGGGGTTGCACCCAGTCGAAGCCCTGCCTAAGGCAGGATCAGCCCCATCCAAATCAGCCCAGACAAACCCTGTGTCCAACCTCAGAGCCACATGACAGCCACCCTAACACAGCCCCAGGCATCGCCCCCGCCCCTGCCTCTGGGAAAGCAGGAGGGCCACGGCCACCAATGTCCTGCTGCTGCAACAGGAGTTAGTAGATGCTCCAGACAGCCCAGGCCAAGGCCGTGCCCCCGCTGCAGAAGAAGGCAAAACTGCCCTATGCGACTGGTCTGAGCAGGGGGAAAATCCCGTCCTGCCCCAGTGCAGCATCGGTCTGAGCCTGAGTGCAGGGGCAAGACCCTCCAGCCAGGACCCTGCGGGGTTGGTGCCACAGGAGCATTGGCATAGCCCAGCCCCATCCCCAGCCTGGGCTGCAGCACCCAGCGCCTTTGGGAAAAGATTAAACCCCCTGACACAATGAATGAAGCAGGGAGGCACAGCACTCAGGGAGCAACTAGGACAGTGATGGGCAGGTACCTTGGTTACAAACACACCCACACACATACACATGCACACACGGACACCCCCCCCACCCCTCTACTTCCTGTTCCTCTGCTCAATTTACACGTTACCAGTAGATTCTTCTCTCACCTCCCCTCGGCCCCACGCTGCGCCCTCAGCTTGGCTTTGGAGGCAGGGCCAGACCCCATCACCACCCTTGAACAACCTGTCCACGAGGGCAGCCACTCCCCCCCGCACCAGCCCTTTAGCTGGAGGGTTTCACGGGTGCCAATGGAGCAGGGGCCACAAACAGCAGCTTAAATCAAGGGACCCCAGACACCCCATCCTGCAGCAGGACTGAGCTGCAATGAGATGCAGCATGGGAGACTCCCAGCACCGCGCTCTTCCCTGCTGCCTGCCTGCCCCCGGGGGGAGTAGCTCACACGCGCCTGCACCAGGCTCAAGGTACTCGGAGCCCCTGAGAGAGCAAAGCATCCATCACTAGAAAACAGCCCTTGGCTCTCCCCCTTCCTCTCCCTGCCAAGTCCCCCAGCAGCCCGGAGCCCCCTAGAAGGGGCCAGCTCACCCCTCACCTGATGTTGACCAGTGCATGGGTCACCTTGCTCGCAGGCTCCTTCCACTGGCCCACATTGGTTGAAAGCCTCAGAACTGGAAGACAGAGAGAGAAGAGAGAGGTGGGTCTGCCAGCCTGTACCAGCCCCAGCATAGATTCATAGATTCATAGATTAAGGGTCGGAAGGGACCTAGTAGATCTTCTAGCCCAACCCCCCGCCAGGGCAGAAGAACAACAAAAAACCCAAAAAAGAGACTCAAATGACTCCCCTGGCGAGTCTAGTTAAAGCATGATGCCTCCCTACCTGCAATGGCCTGATCCTGCCCGGCCAAGGACGCAGTGAGCCCAAAGCACCCAGCACCCGCGAGAGAACGGAGCTAAGGGACGTAGCCCAGCCCAGCACGAGGCTTCCTACTTCTACCTTGGCCCAGGCCATTGCCTTGGAGGCTGTGTACAGGAAACAACAGGGACAAAAAACAGGTGTGCAGGCATGTGCTGCCTGGGCGTATGCACGGGTATGCGAGTGTGAGTATGTGCACGTGCATGAGCGTGCATGTGTTGATTGCATGATTGACCCCCAGCTTCATTCCAACACCTCATCTGTATGTTGCATGCAATACCTCCAGGTATCACCTCTGTATGGGTCACAGCGTGAGCACGCAATGCAATGTGCCTGGTTTTTACCCCACAGTAAGGAGTCCTCACAAGCTGGCTGCCTGGAGCAGGGCCTATGGCAGCCCCTGACAGCTGGAGGGGTGGACAGCCAGCTGGGGTGAACTGCCCAAGGCTGCAGACACACAGCTCATTCACCAATATAACCTACACAGTCGCAGGGGTAACGTTATCCTGGATTACAGGGACTTACACTGGGGTAAGGCTGCATGTGGTATGTCTGCTCTACTAGTTATCATGGCACCAAATGGCCTGGTCCCCACAGTCAGCCTGTTGCGTGTGCATGCACTAAGCCCCAGCAGCTTCTCCATGTTCATTCCCTTCTGCTCTGGTTCCCGTCGGCTCTGGGCCCTGTCCACGCTGGACAACATCCAGGGATTTAAGCCTATCTCAGCAGAGAGCAATTCTCGGCTTCTCCAGCCACCAGTGCTGCAGACCGGGATTAGCATTCCTGTGCTGGTCCCGTCACAGATGGGCTCGAGCAGGCCAGTGAGTAGGATGGACGAGGCTCCACAAGAGGCAGGGCATGCCGGGGCACTGCAGCCAGATGGCCCATGGCTCAGGTAGGTTCAAAGCCACGCAGTTCCAGGGCTCCAACAGCCTTGGCATCTGAGCACAGGACAAAGCAGGGAAGGGGTCCAAGTCCTGGCATTTCATCTGCACTGGCAGCGATCGCATGGGAGTGCAGAGGTTTCCAGATCCACCTGCCCAACAATGCTGTTTCTGGGGCTAGAGTCTCCCTGCAAGGTGCATCTTGTCTTCCTATGTGATAAGGCCTCCCTGCCGCCACCATCTTCTGGGCAGCACCCAGCCAGGTCCATCTGGGACCATCCACCTGGCTTCAAGAAGCAGATCCATCTGTCAGCCTGCTAGAGCCAAGACTCGCACAGAGACCAGGCAGATGCCCTGGGCCCAACTCCCTGCAGCCGAGACCCTTGAGGGGCAACTGCCCTCCAGGCTCCAGCTTCCCCTCTTCTGAACCTCAGCCTCTGTTCACAGTCAGCCCAGTAGGGAACAAGCAACCCAGAGTTGGTACTAGCGAGACTTCCTGGCTCAGACACCCACAGCTGTCCTGGGGGAGAAGGAGTCTGCATCACTCCACTTCTCTGCCGGTTTGCCCAGAGGACACCCAGGCACCACTGCCCAGAGCAGGTGCTTGATTCCTGAGAGGCTGGGGCTCCTCCTGGCTTGCTCTGGGCCCTAATGGCCTCCCTGGCCCTTTGGCCATGGGACAAAGGCTCTGCGGCAGCAGCAGGCATCCCCAGCTCAGAGGAGGCTGCATGAGTGCCGCTGCGGCAGTGAATGCCCCTCTCTTCCCTGGCCCTGGAGGGTCTTCTCTCCTGTGCCATCCCAGGCAGTTCTGTGGGCTGGCAAGGAGGAACATGCCCTTTGGGACAGGGATCGGCAGAGGGCACATGGGCAGGAGAGCAGGCGGCTGTGGCTGTTCATGGACATAGCTTCATTCACACGGGGCTTGATCCTGCTTCTGTGTGATATCTGTACCTTGTTCCCAGAGCCCAGGCACTGATGACGGCTCTGTTTCCTCTCTTTGCCAGCGTGCAGCAAGCTGCTGTCTCTGCAAACAGGCTGTGGGGAACAGGACAGGACAGGACACACTGCCTTCTTGCTTGGCTCTGGCAATGGTGGGAGCCTCCCATACCACTTGTCCAGGCTCCTTGTTTGCATTAACAGTGCCTGCTGCCCTCTGCTGCCGGGTCCTGCATCGGGTTGCACTCTCCCTGGAGCTGAGGCCATGCTTCCCCAGCTGGGAGACTGATGCACCGTGGCAGCTCTTGCCAGCGTTCAGTCACAGCGACAGGGCCGCACTGACCTTCACTCTCGCTGCCTGCAAGAGGCCACCCACGCCACCTGCTCCCTGGCTGACCCACAACAGAAAGAAGCATTGTGTTTTTTGCATCAGAGAACATGGAGTCTTCTACACACTGAGCCTCCCTCAATTCCTACCCTGGCACGCGTGCCAGCACATGCATGCCCACCTGTGCACGCACCCATAGGGCAAGCAGGGGCCTCTAAGGTAGGATACACAGGCTGGTCTGACCCGCAGTGGCCCGGCTCGGCCGGACACTCACCCATGGAGTAGAGGTTATCGAAGCTCTGATGCATGCGGATGATCTCGTAGTACAGCTCGTCATAGCTGCCGGGCGTAGGCAGGAAGGTGTCTCCGTACGTGATGAACATGTTGAACAGGTTCACGACCTGCAAGACAGTGGCCGTAACATACGCTCAAACCATGGACACCTGCCCAGTCCTCTGTCACCCAACACTGGCTTTTTCTGGCTCTGTCATCTCATTATGGGTTGGGGACTTAACGACACTGCACTGGCTGGCGGCACAGCCTGGCTTGCGGCTCTGCTGGGCAGGGAAGCTGCCATGACTAGGAAGTGTGACTGGACCCACCCCAGCCCCAAGGCTGCGTTTTCCAGGCATGCTCTTTGCAACATGGCTGTACAAAGCCCTCTCCTGCAGGCAGCCTGGCCCCTGCCAGCCTGGGGTCGGTGGGCAGTGTCCCCAGGAGCATTGGGCCTGTGTGCAAGGGCTTGGATCCCAATCCCAGGGTTCGGCCACCACTGGAGAAGGTGGCATCCTATTCGCCTGCATACCACCACATGCCCTCTTCTCCCATGGGGTCGGTCTGGTCTTCCCCAACCTGAATGCTCCTGGTTTACTCCATGGAAGAGGGCCAAGTTCTGGAGGAAATGTCAGATCTCGGCGCTACCCTGCCTGCAGGAGCTATTGACACAGAGCTGGCAAGGCTCCTGGGTCATCTAGTCCAACTTCACCCTCACAGTCAGACCATCCCTGTCTAAACCAACCCAATCTGCAATTAAGGCCGCTCAGGGATGGAGACCCTGCAAGCAGTCTGGGCAATGCGTTCCCATAAAGTCCTTCCTAATAGCCAAGCTAAATCTCCTCCGTGGCAACTCAAGCCCCTGACATCTGGTTCTGTCCCCAGTGGACAAGCAATCTCCGTCCTGTCACAGAGCCACCCTTGCTGCAGTCAAAAGCTTATCAAGTCTCTTCTCCCAATTAAACAGCCCCAGCCCTAGACCCCCGCCCCGTACTCACCATGAGCGCCAAGGTGAAAATGTTGTGCTTCGCCAACAACACTGTCTCGTTGGACATGAGGAACTTCAGCAGGTTGATCAGAGCTACAAGAGAGAACAGCAATAGTCACCGCTCTTCCCAGCCAGGCATTGCAACCCGCGAAGCCCCCACCGGCCCGGAGACCTTCCAGGCAGCCGGCTGATTTCTAACTGGCCACATAAGCTGGAGGGTTGTACATGAGGGCTTTCAAAAGACTCGATGGTGAAGAGAAAGCCCCTAGGGATTTATTACTATCCCGCACCAAACAAAGACGGGGGGGTCACAGCATGACATGAGCAGGCCAGCAGTTTATAACGAAGACCAGGATGTTGTTTCCCCCAGTTTGAGATTAAAGGGGGAGCTCGCGGCCCCCAGTTGGGGTGGGAGCCAAGAGCTCAGCCAGATTCACACGGGGTCAGACACGTGTTTGGAGGAAAGAGGCATCGGTTGCTATTGAGCAGGGAGCGCGGGGCACGGCCTCTGCATCGGACCTGCCTGGACCCTAAAGGCTGCAAGGGAGCGAGGAGCAGGGGAAACCTGCTG